TGGGCTCCGGACTGGTGAGTTTGCATGGGGAAGGCTCCCAGGCTAGGCATTTACTAGCGCTGGGACCTGGTTGGCCCTGGGAGGGGCAGTCTGTCAGGGTCAGGGGATGTCAGAGCATCTGAAATAGAGAATCGGTGCTGGGCTGACTCAGTCGGTGGAGCGTGCGACTCTTGATCTTGGGGTCATGAGTTCGAGCCCCATGTTGGTTGTAGAGTTTACTTTAAAAAAAAAGAGGTAGAGAAAATCCAGAAGGCATGAATAGTACACGGTTTTTGGTGTGCGTAGAGCTTTTCTGTTTCATTGCTGCACACCATTCCAGCGCGTGAACTGACCACGGGATGTCTGTCCGTCCGTTCTGCTGTGGTGGGAGGTTGGGGCTGTCTCTAGGATGGGGCTTTTTACCAGTAAAGCTGTTATGAATATTCCTACACATGTCTTTGGTAGGTATCTATTTTCATTTCTTTGGGCCATGTGCCCAGCAGTGAAATTCCTGCCTCACAAGGAATTGTGAGTGCTTTGGGAGATGTCGCTGCAAGTTACCCAAAGTGGTTGAACCAAGTTCCAATCTTGGTGACACCCTCACGCCTTTTCAGGCGGAAGGCTCAGGTCTTCTGATCTGGGGAATCCCCATTTATTCCTTGTTTGACGGGATTCATCCATGTTTTATTTAGTAAATTGTTGTTGAGGGCATCCTTATTCTGGGCATTGGGGACACGAGGGGCCAACCCACGAGAAGAAGACGCTCCAAAGGAGGGAACAGACAATAATCAAGCACGTAAGCACATGCTATAAAGATTTATTTCAGATAGGAATAATCATGCTGCCATATAATTAAATTATAATTACAATTTCAGTGAGAGATGACTTCTGTGACAAAAATAAAGCTGCGGACACATAAGTGTTGCCCCTCCTCCATTTTCTCTGTCCTTCTAGAAATCTCTTGGGACACACTTCGGGGATTCTGTTCCTGCCCTCATGTCTCTTCTTTCATGTGCTTCCATTTCACAACAGCATTGTTGTTGTTTTAATTGAAGCATGACTGACATACAACATCCTATAGTTTCGGGTGTACATCGCAGTGATTTGATTTTTTTTTTAAGATTTTATTTATTTATTTGACGGAGAGAGTGAGAGAGCACAAGCAGGAGGAGCAGTATAAGGAGAGGGAGAAGCAGGCCTCCCGCCGAGCAGGGAGCCCGATGTGGGGCCCGATCCCAGGACCCCGGGATCGTGACCTGAGTCGAAGGCGGACGCTTAACCATCTGAGCCACCCAGGAGCCCCAGTGATTCGATATTCTTATTTTTTTAATTTTTAAAAGATTTTTAGAAGATTTTATTTTATTTATTTGAGATTTTATTTACTTGAGAGACAGACGAGAGGGGGAATGGCAGAGGGAGAGGGAGAAGCAGGCTCTCTGCTGAGCAGGGAGCCCAACGTGGGACTCGATCCCAGGACCCCCGATCATGACCTGAGCCCACGGCAGACGCTTAACGACTGAGCCCCCCAGGCGCCCCTCTCATTATAGTTTTTATTTGCGTTTCCTTGATGACACATCTTTTCCTGTCCTGTTGGTCGTGGGCATGTCTTCTTTGGAAAAATGTCTATTCAGGTCCTCTGCCCATTTTTAAACCAGGTGGTTTTTTTTATTTTTATTTTTTTAATTTTATTTATTTATTTTTTTAAGATTTTATTTATTTGAGAGAGAGAGAATGAGAGAGAGAGCACAAGAGCGGGGAGGGTCAGAGGGAGAAGCAGACTCCCCGCCGAGCAGGGAGCCCGATGCGGGACTTGATCCCGGGACTCCAGGATCATGACCTGAGCCGAAGGCAGTCGCTTAACCAACTGAGCCACCCAGGCGCCCCCCAGGTGGTTTTTTTTAATATGAAGTTGTGTAAGTTCTTTATATATTTTGTATATTAACCCCTTATCAGATGTATTACTTGCAAATATCTTCTTCCTCTAAGTAGGTTGCCTTTTTGTTTTGCTGATGATTTTCTTCACTGGGGCAGAAGTTTTTTAGTTTGATGCAATCCCATTTGTTTATTTTAGCTTTTGCTGCCCTTGCCTAGGGAGACTGCCCCCGCCCCCCCCCCCCCACAAAATACTGCTAAGATTGATGTGGAAGAGCTTCCTGCCTATGTTTTCTTCTAAGAGAAGATTTTTTTTTTTTTTTTTAAACAAGCCACTTACACCTGTCCATCTCTGGTTTATTTATTTATTTACTTTATTGGTGAAATGGCAACAGCCTTGTGTGTCTCCTGAAATGAAAATGTCATTCTCGTTTCTCAGCCTGGTTCTGCTTTTCCGATAGCTCTCTTTTGCCAGGTGGGAAGTTCTTCTCTTTCTTGGGATGGTTGCCCTTCTTTCCCGCAGTGACTCTCTCTCGCGTGGACTGACTGTGAGTCATGGGCTGTCAGCCTCCGCTGGCTTCAGGCAGGGGCGGGAGGGACTGTACGGAATGCATTCTGGCCTGCCCCCCCCGCCCCCCCCCACAACGTGCGAACAGATGTTCTGTGCGGCAGAAGAGGGCTTCGTGCTGGGACAGCAGATACTACAGTTAAGACTTCTGGGTGTCGGTACCCCCTACTCCTCCCAGGCAGTGGAAGACAGCCAGGCTTACAGTCGGGGTCCCTCCTGAGAGTCAGTGAACCCCCCCAGGCTATTGCTCCTCCCAGGAGAAATGGGGGCAGGGAAGGTTTGGGGGGGTAGTCACAGAGGAGTGGCTATAACATACAATGTATAACAAAGATTTTTGAAGAAAAAACTTCATTTTACAAATAAACTTTTATGATCTATAGAAATATTGGGAAGATAGCATCAAGAGTTCACATAGCTTCCACACCCAACATCCTTTATTTTAAGATCTTGTAATAGTATGGTGCATTTGTTATAATTAGTGAATCACTATTGGTACATTATTATTAACTGAAGTTCATACTTTAGTCAGATTCTCTTAAGTTTTTACCTCATGCCCTTTTCCTGGTCCAGGCTCCCACCCAGGATACCACCTTACAGACAAATACGTATTCCCTGTCATTGCGGGGCCCAGGGGAGTAGTGGGGAGGCCGTCACGTGTGCTGTGATCAAGTTCACCATCTTGAAGTCAGTCTTTCTGTTTCCGCCTGGCTTGGGGACTTGGGAAGTACTTGGCCAGGGCGCTGGATGCGGAGTCACGTATGTTCAACTCCTATTCCACCCTCTTGTCTCTCTAGTGTGTCCTTTGACTTGTCCCCTCTTTGGCCTTAGTTTCCTTATCTGTGAAATGGAGGCCCTGGGCTAGTTTCATCTAGACAGGTTGAGTCTTGGGGTAGATGGCGAATGAAGTTTCCTGACCCCGTCCTGGGGTGGAGGGAGCCGGCAGGCGTGACGCTATCCGAGGGCAGAGCCCAAGCCGGGACCCACATCTCACTGAGCGCAACATGGGGGCCCACACGCCGACTTTGGGCTTTTCGGGTCAAAGATCAGGGGTCTGTCCCTGCTTCACTGCTTATTCTTGTGTAGTTAGGCAAGACCCTCTTGAGCTCTGAGCCTCGGTTTACTCATCTGTAGAGTGCCAGCTGGTGGGAGGGTCCCTTTGGCTGAGAATAGAACAGGTTGCTCTGGGCAACAGTGAGTTCTGTTTTTGAGGCTGTGCAAGCTGGGCCAGGCGACCCTGTCGGGTGCTGCAAGGGGTGATGGCAACCCTAGGCTCCGAGGGTCTTCCTGTTGGATTGGGAATCCAGCCTCTGGGCCGACCCATTTTCCTACACCTGAGCTGGGCAGGTGGCCGGCTGCCACGGGATGCCCACACACAGTTGCTTTCTTCTCCAGCCTGGGCCGGGACTGCATTTGGCCCTGGGCTAAGGGAGGCCTGCCAAGTGTACCACACCCCCTGGGCCATGGACTTCCAGGAGCCTGGATGGAAACTCACCATTACTGCCTCCCTGCCTTGTGGTACTTTTGGCTGCCAGGCCATTCTGCCACCCAGGTAGCTCCCAGCACAGGCCAGGCTCTACAGGCTCTACAGAGGTGACTCGACCACCCCTTACAAAGCTCTGAAGGAGTGAGCGGAATCCCTGAAAAAGTGAAAATAAGGAGCCCCGTGCCCCCACTCCCCCAAACCCTGGACTCTGTTATTTAAAAAAATGTCAGGGTTCTTCCAAGCTTCTGAGCCTTTGCATCTGCTGTTTGCTCCACCACCAGTGCCCTTCCCCTTTTTCTAGCTGTTGACTCCTACTCATCCTTTAAGGCCCAATGCAAAAGACGCCCCTGCTGGACCCTAACCACCCCTCCCTGTGTCATGGCACGTCTCACCCTGAGTCATAATGGGCCTCTTCCGTGTCTGTGTCCCTGTGTCCCTCGATTTTCCCGAAGGTAGGGTGGGCCTGACTCACCTCCCTGAGGTTGCCACAGTCACATCATCTGCCCACTGCGTTGTTGTTGCGTGAGAGGGCCGGGTAGGGGAAGGGAGCATTGCTTTCCGAGCACCTTCCGTTTACTGGCACTGTTGCAAGCATTTAATGTCTAGCCTCCTGACCTCCACCCTCACGCCAAGTGGGCGCTAACCCCGGCTCGTCCCCGGAGGCAGGGGCGGCAGGCGCGCCAGTGCGTCTGGGCCGCGGGGAGAACTGGCGCTCGGCGGGTGGGGCGTGCGTGACACCCGACGACCGGCCGCAGGCGAGCCAGGCGGGGTGGGGGGGCAGCGAGCGCACCGGGGCGTCCCCGCACAACCTGGGGGCCGGGGACTCCCGCGGGTGGCGCGCTACTAGCTCCATGTGCCGCGGACGTGACCGAAGCTGGGGAACCGCCGCCTCCCGCCTCAGGTCTGGGCCGCGCCCGGGCCCCGCGGGGCCCCGCCCCCTCGCGCCTCCCGGGGCGCACCTGGCCCCGCCCCCGCGAGAGGCCCCGCCCCCGGCCCCGCCCCGAGCCTCAAACTGGTCGGGGTGCCGCGCGCTTGGGCAGGCAGGTGGAGGAGAGCTGAGCGGTCCACCGCGTTCGGTGCTACGCTCCGGGCCCCACCATGGGTAACCGCGCGGGCCGCACCGACTTCGAGTGGGTCTACACCGACCAGCCGCACACGCAGCGGCGCAAAGAGATGCTCGGTGAGCGCGGCCCGGCCCCTGCCGCGGGGTGGGGACAGCGGTCGTTCTTGCGCCGGCCCCGGTGCCCAGCGGGCACTCCTCGGCCCCTGCTTCAGGGAGGGTGGGAGCGCCACTCCTCCCCCCGCGGGGGTCCTCGGCCCGGGTGCCCGAGGGTCTTTTTTGCCCGGGTCTGAAACCTCCGTCTCGCGTCTTTGCCTCCGTCCTGGGGTCCAGGATTCGAGGACCCGAGCCCGGATCCGCGCACCTGGGGAGCGCACCTCAGCTGCAGCATCCTGGTGGTGGGCCGCCAGCCAGTCGTGGGGCGGGGACCGGGCGCGAACTCGGGGCGCGGGGTCCGTCCCCAGGGGACCGTCTGTGTACGGGATACACCTGAAGAAAAAACCCCACAAAGATAACGCCAAAGAATGCCTTTTGTCCATTCTGCCCTGTATTTTATAGCTTAATGCATGGTGGCCGCCCCTCTCTCATTTAGTGTCCTGCGAAGTCGAAGTCGTTTTTACCAGCGTAGTTGTGGTCAGTCAAGCCAGTGGCTCCTATTAGACCCGGAATGTACAGTCTCTTTCCTGGGGACTACAGGTAAAAGGGTTCGCACCTCCAGAACAGTTTCTACTGGGTGCCACCAAATCGCCCCCACAGTGCCAGGCCGGCTTCCAGCAGCGTGGACGTGCTACCCTCCCTCCCAAGAAATGGCCAGGCCGTGGTTTCCACACTCCCTCGCCTACACCTGGGGTTGGCAAACCTTTTAATCAGGTTGACTAGGTGACATGTGTTATTTCATTGTGTTTAATTTGCAGTTTGGGGATGATTGTTTACAAAGTTTAATTGTCCACTTTAATTTTTTTTTTTCTCTTGGGTTGGTCTCTCGCTTGTTGATTGTTAGAGCTCTTTGTACAGTAGGGTTTTAACTATTTGTCTTACGTGCTGCAAATATTTTACCCTTGTCTTTTGCTCTCACAGAAGCTTTTTTTTTTTTCCCATGCATTCAAATGGATTGGCTTTTTCTTTAGAGTTTTCCCTTTGGTGTCTTCCTGCCCCACTCCAAGACTATGAAATATCCATCCTATTACTTTTAAGGCTTTCAGACACCAGATGCACTACGTGGTTCATGCAGGACTGTTCTCTGCTGTGGCTGCCCCCTGGCTGGAGAAGGCTGGGGGGGTGGGGTTGTGTCTAAGGTGGCTTTCTGCTGTGAGGTGAACAATAACCGAGCACTGCTGTGGTCTGACCTGTGGCAGCATCCTCCCCTACACCTGTGAACTTCTTGGGGTGGCTCAGAGGGCTCTTGGTGATCATCTGGTCCTGCCTCTCCCTAGAGGGCAGGTGTCTTGGCTGCTCCCCTCAGCAGGGCTGAGGCAGGGCTCCATTTCCTTCCCCTCCCCTGGCAGGCCCCACCTTGCTGTTACAGGACTCACTGGGCACCTGGCCCCACGTGGAGAAGGCTGGGAGACTTACCCTGCCCCGCAGAGGGGTTCAGACCCTCTGGGCTGCAGACTCACTTTCTGAATCTGCAAAATGGGCACAGTCATCCTGTTTGGCAGAGAGGGTGCAATGTTAAAAGGAGATCTTGGATGTTAAAAGGTGCCCAGTGTGGTACTCAGCACTCCAGAACATGGAGAAAAGGATCTGTGTCAGAAGAGAGAAGCCACGGGCCCCGAAACCAATAGGGGAAGTTTCCTGGACGGGGTGGCACAGAAGGCTGGAAGGCTTGGAGGAGAGGAGGTGATTTGGGCACCAGGTCTCAGGGGCCCACCCTTCAGGGACCTCTAGCTCATTTCCAGTTTCCACTGGGTGCTGTGGATTCCTCCGGTCACGTCTGGTTTTGAACCCATGAACTTGACATGTCCCATTTTCCCTCACTCCCTGGCATTTGACAGCTTCTGCCCTGCCTGGATGTCCCCTCCTTCCCGCTCTGCGCTGCTTGCTGCCTTTGGAGTTTTGTTTTATTCCGTTTTAAATTTTATTGAAGTATAATTGACATGTGATATGACGTTAGTAAGTTTCAGGTATAAGTCTAGTTACCATTCTTCACAGTACAAAGTTACTGTGATTTCATGGACTACAGTCCCCTTGCTGTACATGACATGCCCGTCACTTACTTTATAAATGGAAGTTTGTACTTGATCCCCGGCCCCCATCCCTCCATGTCCCTCCCCCCCCCTGGCAACCACCAATCTGGGTTGGCTTGGTTTTGTCTTTTGAGTCTGGGTTTGGTTTGGTTTTGTCTTTTAGATTCCACATGTAAGTGGAATGATGCAGTATTTGTGTCTGTCTGACTGACTTCACTTCGCACAGTATCCTCAGGGTCCACTCATGTTGTTGCAAAATTCCATTCTTTTCTACGGCTGAGTAATTTTTGATTGGGTATATCCCGCTTCTTCATCCACGCATTTGTTGACGGACACTTAAGTTGCTTCCATATCTTAGTTCTTCTACATAATGCGGCAGGGAACGGGGGGCGGTGCATATATCTTTTTGAATTTGTGTTCTCGTTTTCTTTGGATAAATACCAAGATGTGGAATTGCTGGATCAATTTTTTGAAGAACCTCCATACTGCTTTCCAGAGTGGCTGCACCAGTTTGCATTCCCACCGACAGTGCATGAGAGTTCCCCTTTCTCTGCATCCTCGCCAACACCTGTTACTTATGTTGTTGATTTTAGCCATTCTGACAGGTGTGAGGTGAGACCGCATTGCATTGTAGTTTTGATTTGTATTTCCCTTGACGATGAGTGATGTTGAGCATCTTTCCATGTGCCAGTTGGTCATTTGTATGTTTTCCACGGAAGAATGTCTGTTCAAGTTTTAGTCAAATTTTTGTTGGTTTGCTATTGAGTTGTATGAGCTCTTTATATACTTTGGATGTTATTCCCTTATTGGGTATGTGATTTGTCAGTATCTTCTCCCATTCCACGGGCTGCCTTTTTGTTTTATTGATGGTTTCTTTTACCATGCAAACCTTTTTTTTTAGTTTGATGCAGTCCCATTTGTTTTATTTTCGCTTATGTTGCCTTTACTTCCAGTGTGAAATCTAAAAAGATTATCGCCAAGACTGATGTCAAGGAGCTTACCGCCGGAAGATTTTGGCTTTCCTGTCTTACTTCAAGTCTTCAGTCCATTTTGAGTTTATTTTTGTGTGTGGTGTGAGAAAGCAGTCCAGTTGTATTCTGCACGTAGCCGTCCAGTTTGCCCAATACCATTTGTTGAAGAGACTGTCTTTTGCTCATTGCATATTCCTGCCTCCTTTGTTGTAAATCGATTGACCATATGAGTGTCAATTTATTTCCGGGCTCCCTATTCTGTTCCATTGATCTCTGTTTATTTTTATGCTAACTTACACTGTTTTTTGATTTTTTGATTACTTCAGCTTTGTAGTATAGGTCGAAATCCAGGAACACGATACCTCTGACTTTTTTTTTTCACAAGGTTGCTTTGGTTATTCATGGTCTTTTGCGGTTCCGTAGACATTTTAGAATTATTTGTTTTAGTTCTCTGAAAAATGCCGTTGAAATTTTATTAGGGCTCTCGCTCAGTCCCATTTCCTGCAGGAAGGCCCCCTGATTACCCTCCTGGCCTTTGGCCTCCGCTGGGGGAGGACATTCCTCTGGGCTTTCCCTCCACGGCTCCGACCCATCAAGGTTCTTAACAATGTGGGGCAGCAGATTTCAGGGATCTAGAGCTTGGCCGTGGAGCTCATCTCCTGGCAGGCACCTCAACACTACTCACTTACTAGCCATGTGACCCTGGGCAGGTCAGTCATCAGATGAGCAAATAGAGGCTTGGTTGAGTTAAAAGGGGTTATTACTCCTTACAGAGTTGTGCAGATTAAATGAGGTAATGTTAAGTGCTTAGCCTCGCACGCAATAAATGCTACAATAAATGTTAGCTCCGATGATAATTACTGCCTCGGCACACAGGCCCAAGTTCTCCCCAAGGACAGGGAATGCCTTTCCGCCTCTCCTTTCTGGCCGCCTGTGCCATTCCCAGCCCGAGAGAAATTCTGCGTGTAACTGCTAGTACCTCTTTAGAGAAGAGGCAGTGGAGGGGGTGCTCAGAGAGGGGAAGCGACTTGTGTGGGGCTGCACAGACCGGAGGCTGCCAAGGCCCGGCTGGTGTGCGGTGAACTTGAGGATGTGCTCCAGCCCCACCAGGCCTCTCCTGCCGCTCATGCCAAGCCCCCAGGAGCCAGTGGATGCTCAATAAAGATCCTAATCTGAGAGGGAGTCAGAACCCAGGGGGAGGCCCTTGCACCTAGCTGGCTGCACCGCTCTCTGGGGCAGAACCAAAGTCCATCCCCAGCTCCTGCCTAAATGGGGACAGGCTCCCCAGGGCACAGTGTCCTGAGTAAATGGAGTCCCATGCAGCCCCTAAGAGCCACATCTCCCAGGCCACGGCTGAGCCTCCCTGTACTTTGAAGGCAGGAACAGAGCCAGCAGGACTGTGATCCCACAGCCGACCAGAGGCCAAGCCAGGCGTGGCCGCGGAAAGAAGCGGACTTTGGGTTTGTCTTTAAAAACAAATAGCTTTGTGATTTTTTTTTTCTTATGGAAACAGGGCACAAACATGGTAAAACAAAACAAAACAAAACGAAACACAAATTCAAATAATCAAAGGAAAACAAAAGAGGAAACAAGGAAGTAAGACTCTTGGCAATTGTTGGGTTATTTGCCTAGGGAAGGCCCCTGCTGGGGCCTTTCTCGGGCTGGGCGGTAAAATCCAGAACAGAACTGGCTGAAGCCCTCAGGGGAATACGTGAACTCTCCCCACCCAACCATGGAGATGCCGGCTCCAGGGGTGGGGAGCGGGCGGGCCATTCTCTCCGCACCCCATGTCCCTGTCCCAGGAGGCATCTGGGCCTCCTCCCCTGCCAGGGGGCTGCACCGCTGCTGGGCTTGCGTCCCCCCAACTCTGAGATTGCACAGAAGAAAGAGAGCTGCTTCCTTCACCTCCTGACCTGAGGAGCATGACCGCCCCTTGAGCCACTGATCTCTGGCCAGAGCTGTG